CAGGGCACATGCCTGGATTGTGGGCTCAAACCCCAGTAGGGATCATGCAGGAAGCAGATGATTAATGATTCTCTCTCATTATTGATGTTTCTACCTCTCTCTCTCTCCCCTTCCCTTCGTCTCTGCAATCAGTATTTTTACTAGAAGCCCGGTGCATGGGATTTGTGCACTGGTGGGAGGCGTGGCAAGCAGAGATTGGCCCGCCGTGGGAGCACCACTCATCCCAGGAAGCAGCACTCCCACTGTGGAGTGCACTGACCACCAGTGGAAGCTCCTCTGTGTTGAGCGTCTGTCCCCTGTTGGTCAGTGCATATCATACGGACTGGTTGACTGGTCATTCTGTTGTTTGGTCACTGAGCTTTTATTATAAAGAAGGATATTTTAAAAAGAGAAATTCCTAGGATATGAGCAAGTCCTTCTTCAATTCCCAATGTTAACAAAGTATCAGATATGTAGGTTCCAGCCCTGGGCACGTCTTGAAGAAATGTCAGTCCTCAGCTATAAAATGAATTGTTGGTCGAATTAGACAATTTCCTTCATTTCTTCCAGTTTTAACAATCCTTCTGATATTGTTTCTCTTCCCTCATCTTCATTCTTTGGTCTATGCTCCTATCAGCTGAATGCATGTGTCGGGAAAGCAGCCAATCTTTTGGGGGTGAAATTCTAGTGAACTGACAATGTCTAACAGTTACTCTGGATGATTTAGGCAAAACAACACATATTTTTCTCTATTATTTGAACAGGTAGGCATAAAGCGGGCTTTTATTGACTTTTCTGGATTATAAAAATTCAAGGGGTTCATTTAAAAGGTTGCCAGTTTTAGCAACTATTTTGGGTCAGAATTCAAGATGTCAATTCTAAATCTATTATCCATAAAAATCGCCTTAACATTTACTCTGGCTTCCCCAATGGATCAGAACGGCCTATCTGCATTATAACCAGCAGATCAAAACTTGTCACAGAGACAAAAAAACTTTCCCAGGTAACCCTGTATTCCCCACAGAACTGTACTTTGCTAGTTTGGAAAGAAATACTTTTTTTTTTTTTTTTTTACAGAGAGGAAGGGAGATGGTTAGAAACATCAATGAGAGAAAAACATTGATCAGCTGCCTCCTGCACCCCCCGCCACTAGAGATGTACCTGCAACGACGGCACATGCCCCAGACCGGAATCAAACCCCGGGCCCCTCAGTCCGCAGGCAGATGCTCTATCCACTGAGCTAAACCAGTTTGAACTCATTTTAGCTTTAAGAATATACTGCTTCAGAGCACAACCAAGACTTTCAGTATAGCTTTAAAGTTGGTCTGTTTTTACTCGGTTATGAATTATTTCGTTTCTATTTTGCAAATATATAACAATAGCAAAGCACTTCATTCATTAGATCTTACATATTCAGTATTTGAATTTCATCAAAGGGAAAGTCTCCTACATAAAACTTGCTCCTTTGAAAAAGAGCCCAAGTATTTATATGGAATTTTTAGTACACAAACCCAGCTGAACAATATTCCTAGGTGGGGAGGAGGTGCGTTACTGATGGAACAGGACGATCAGGAGGGAACTCTCAGCCAAGCTCACATGCTAAGCATCTTCTCCAGAGAGCTTTATATTTCAGTTTCAGATCCTACGTTTCCTTTCCATGAGGGTCTAATGGATTGATTCACATTCCCAAAACCCACACGAGGTTCGCTTATTCTCCCCTCACCCCCCAAGACTTACAAACTTACTTATAGGAAAGACACAGCCAAGAAAGAGACTTTTCATTTACCTAGGTCCCCAAGGCTGCTCAGAGAATAAGCCATGTGAGTTGCCACATGGCCAGAAGCTGTTTAAAGTCCTAGAAAAAAATGGTGTCAGGGCCTGACTCAGAGACTCCTGCTTTTCAGCTTGCAGTTCCCCAGGCATGCAAGACCCCAGAGGAAGATCCCAGGGCAGATTATTTGGATGAAATCTTCCAAGCATAGCGGAGTAGACACCTAGAGGTAGTTTACCCATTAGCAGCCCAGCACAGAGCAGGTGGCATCTCTGTTTTTTCAACTATAAAAAAATACGAGATTTGTCTAAAAGGGAAAAATGTAATGGCTCAAATAGTAATACATGTTTATGTTCTGCTAGGTCTGTTATGTCCATCAATCAACTGAAGCACCACTGTCCTATCACATGTAATGTGTGACATGGATGTGAGGGACATTCATGTCTGGTACCATGTGATCAGGCATAGGCAGTGAAAGTCTTCAAAAGGCCTAGATGTAACCAGCCATACCGTGTTCATTTATGTATCTATTCTGCAGGGAAAAGATATCTGTTCCTTTCACTTGACACAGGTAAGTTTAGAAATATAGGCATTAAATTAAGCACAAAGTTAAAACAATTGCTTGACTATAAGCTGCATATTTGGCCACAAAATGTAACTACCCAACCAAGCCCAAAGAAGTATACAAAAAATTAACCACTAACCTTATCACTTCCTGGCTCTTGTCTCTGGTGTGGTGGGGGACGAAGTGAAGGTTTATAACCCTATCAGTCCAGTTTCAAGCTCCGCCCTCTCAAGGGATTAGCCAGTGAGTATTCCAGTTTGTACACGCCCCAGGGCTTCACTTTACATCCATTATCAGTGTATCTGATAGCTCACCGAGTTACCCAGGGAAGAAGAGAGGAAGACTCCACTGGCTCACTCAACACTGAGGGCCTGTTCCGGCCCTGACTCTAGAATGGTGGCCATGACAGGCCCGATTCCTACACCTGTGGTGTTTCCATTCTAGTCGGGGAAGATGGGCAGTATAAATACATAGAAAATAAATGTAGTATGTTCAAATAATACCAGCAACAATATATCAGATGATTACAGCTTATGGGTAAGTGAAATCTATGATGGCAATATTATAAGGGGCAGGAGGGAGGAATTGGGAATGCTGTGTTATAAGGTGCCTGTGCTACCTGTAAAGCAGTATAGTGTTATTTGATAGTGGTCTTAGTGTAGCTTAAATATATATATATTGCAAACTCTAAAGCAACACATTAAAGTTTAAAAAAATATATAAGCTATAGCAGTAGCTGGTTTGGCTCAGCGGATAGAGTGTTGGCCTGTGGACTGAAGGGGTCCTGAGTTCGATTCTGGTCAAGGGTACATGCCCAGATTGCAGGCTCCATCCCTGGTAGGGGGTGTGCAGGAGGCAGCCAATCAATGATTCTCATCATTGATGTTTCTATCTTCCTCTCCCTCACTCCCTCTCAGAAATCAAGAAAAATATATATATATTTTAAAATGAGCTATAATTGACATGCTAAGAAAAAATGGAACCATATATAGGCTCAATTAAAACCAAAGAATGCAGAAAAAGAGGGTAAGACAAAAGAAACAACAACAACAAAGAACAAGGGAAACAAATAGAAAAGTTACAAAATGGTAGAAATGAATTCAGCCATGACAATAAGGATTTTAAATGTGGTCTTAAATACATCAATTAAAAAACAAAGACTACTGATGAACAAAAACAGACCCAGAGAAAGAGAAGCAGCGATCAGACTTTCAAACCTCAGAGGGAAAGTAGGGAAGGGTTGGGAGTAAGGGGGAGAGATCAACCAAAGGACTTGTGTGCATGCATATGGGCCTAGCCAGTGGCCATGGACAACAGGGGGATGGAGGCATATGTGGGGAGGGGTTTGGGATGGGAATGGGGGAATGAGGACAATTATGTGATACCATAATCAATAAAATTAATAATAATAATAATAATAATAATAATAAGGTAAGACAAATTAAAACAAACAAAAACACAAAGACTACTGGTGGACTGAAACCAATTATATTTTCTACAAGAAACCCATGTTAAGTATAAAGACAGAGACTGATTAAACAGATAAAATTGCCAGAGGGTGTCAAGTGCTCTGAAGAAAACCGAATGAGAAAGAGGCAGTTGGGTGTTCGGGGAATGCTGCAGGCCTGTTTTGAGGGACTCCCTTAGGTGGGGACATGGGCGCCCATAGGATAAGAAGAAACCCGCCCTGCAATCTCCTGGGCACATCCGATGAAGAGGGAACACCAGCAAATACCAGGGCCCACACTGGTTGTTGTTTGTAGCAGGCCCTGCCCAGTGGAACTCACTTTCTGCTCTGTTGGGTTTCCCAGGAGGCTGGCCCCTACCAACCGCCCCAGCCAGGCAGCAGGAGGAGCTCAGGTGTTCCTCCAGGCACCCAGTCTGCCAAAGCCTTTCTGAGTGGCTAATGCTGGGTCCCAGGCTTCTTACCCGCTGCACCTCCTCCTCCGTCACAGACACAGAGCCTCACACCATCAGCTTTCCCCTTTGGTCCCAGACACCAGGCCTGTGTAACCTGATCTATTTATACATGGCTTTGCCCTTTAACCTCACTGGTTCGCCTGACCTGAGGGGAGTGGCGGTGTGTGTGTGTGTGTGTGTGTGTGAGCGGGAATTTATTGCCAATATGGCAACTGAATTGCACAATTTAAGGTCATGTAACCATGAGCAGGAAAAACATGGGAATCTGTCCTCACTGGAAACAGCCCGCCTCTTGTGTTTATTTTCTGTAATCCTCTAATTCAGTGCAGAAGCCAAACTTCCTCCTGGCTTTTCCTCAGAGAGCCGGCATTGAGGGCCCCCTGGTGGCTAAGAGAATTAAAATCCAAAGGGCAGTGTTGACAAAATGGCCTAAGGTCTATACAGCAAACCCTCAATTTATATTGTCAGGGAGTGGCACCGGAGAGTAAATCATATGGAAACAGTGTACAGTAGTCCAAATGTGCTGCCATCCTACTCAATCCCATAATACAGACCTCTGGGCGTTAAGGATGTCCGTGTCTGGTTCCATGGTGTAAATTAGTCTTCAAATTAGTGTAAACGTTTTTCTTCCTGGCAGAGGTTAGGAGGAGCAGGCCAAAAGCCCACCCTCACTCTGACACCAACTTGCAAGTTCAAGGGGGTGCCCCAAAAAACACCTTGAGGTTCGTCAAGCCGCTCAAAGAACTCACAGAACTCATGGAGAGCTGTTATACTCACGGCTACGATTTATTACAGGGAGAGGATACAGGCGGAAACCAGCCAGGGGAAGAGACGCAGGGGCGGGGTCCAGGGGGCTCCAAGCTTGAGCTTCTAGGTGTCTTCTCTGTGGAGCCGTGGGTGCATGGACTCCTCCTGGCAACCATGTGGGACATGGAGTATTGTCAACAGGGAAGCCCACCCACGCTTTGAGTCCTGGATTTTTACTGGGGCTCCATCACATGGGCATAACTGACTGCCCATGTGGTGGATCCGACTCCAGTTCCTCCACAGTTGAGCTGACACCACAAGACCCAAAGCCCCCACCCTACATGGCATTATTGCTGAGGCTCCAATCACAATGTGAGTTACTATCTGGTTGGCTTAAGGCCGCCAGGCAAAGACACTCCTATCAGGCATGGCATTCCTAGGGCTTAGAGGTCACCTCCCAGAGGCAGAGGTCAGACCTGTCTTTGGTTGGGCCTATTGGGAAGGGTGAGTCTTTTCCCTACAACACACTCCCTCACTTGCTTCTTTTCCTTGGAGCCAGGGTGTCTCCTTCAGGAGCAGTAGACTGGCCACCACAGCTCCTGGGGCCTGGTCCAGGGCTCCATGTGTCACCAAGCCCTTGCTCACCATGAAATTCTAAATATTAGCGTGACTACAGAGTGCTCACAATGTGAAAGCGTGAACACAAAACAACTACCTGGATGTCTACACTTGACTTTCCTCCAATAAAACACACAGGCCCTTGCTATGAGTGTGATAGGCATTAATGATCACCTCATGGCTATATATTTATTTATTTTTTAATCTGAGCAAAAACCTCTCCTCCTACAGTAAAGGATGAATGTGTTCCCAGTATAGGCCCTCATGAAAAATGTGCTTTTCCTTATATTTTAATAGTCTCATGCTCTACCGATTGAGCTAGCCGGGCAAGACTTTTCCTTATATTTTAAATTTCTGAGAATTAGATAGTCCAAAACCAGCATTTCTTCCTTTTTCAAAAGTACTCTGCTGTTTACACATGGATCTCCCTCACAGAGTGGTACATTTCCCTAGAGCAGGGGCTCTGTTCTAGGGTTCTGCCTCCTGGAACGCTGCTTGGCACATAATAGGTGCTCAGTTAACCTAAAATCAGCACATGTTTAGAGCAGCGTGAATAAATCATCCCCTTCAGTCTGAGATGCAAAAAATTCAAGCCTTCAAATGAACATTTGAGTAATAAGACAAACATGACATACATTTATATTGTCTAACACATATATAAAATATAACTGAAAAGATATATAAATGGTAGCTATGTTTGCCTGTGGGGAGAACCAGGTAGCTGGGGGCAAGGCTGAAAAGAATACTTCCAACTGTATATGGCCTTCTATACCTTTTTGAAGCATGTAATTGTAGATTCCAAATAATTTAATTTAACAATTCTAACAACAGGACAATGATTTGTAAAATTCTTTATTTTAGCTAATATCGACTGCACTCATCACTAACTATGGATTTATAATAGCTCAGAGAGAGATACTCACTAGATATTCTGTTGTTAAACACTAAAAATTGGGAAGAGACCAGATGGGGTTCAGAATGGGATAAGGAGAGGTGAAAAGAAGCTCTGGGGAGAGCCTGAGGTCCCATCCAACCCTGTTATCAGGAAATGAGTTCAGATCAGATCTAACAAACCTGTCAGCCTCTCCCACAAAGGTTTTCAGAAAAAGGACCCATAACAATTACCCACTGGACACAAACCTGTCAGTGTTCCTACAAGAGATCTCCTTGACATGAAAGACCCAACTTAGGAACAATTATACAAAGCACCACGACAGAGCGGGGATTGGGCAGCCTAAGAAACTAGTGTGGACACAGCGAATTCTAGGGGCGAGTTCTCACTCACAAACATCGGTGTTGATTTACGATGGCATAAAGATGTTGTAGACGGTTCTCACGTAGATCTCATCGGGAGGTGGCTTCTTCTTGCTGCCAGGTTCAAGGAATTTCCTAATTGTGGGGACATTACTTACTTTCACGGAGTACTCCTGAAAGGGGAAAACACAGAAGTTCACGGTTGACCACAAAGGTATGAGTCACTATGAAAATGTGGTTGTTCAAAATGGCCATCTATCAGAGTTTGTTCAGAAAGGATTTACTACAGCGACCCAACCAGAACTGTAACCCAGCATCTGTTTAGGGTCTGATCTCCGGGTACGATTATTTATACTCTCTGCCAACAGGAGCTGGTATCTGGGCCAGGCTTTATGCAAATCTCATGTTCACACCAAAATGTGAATTTTTTTCAGGGATAGCAAAATTAAAAAGATTCTTAGAATAGGATTATGATACTGGCTTAAAGAGAAAAAGAGAAAGGGAAAAGAAAGACTTGGGAAGTAACTTAAGAAATTGATCTGCCCAGAGAAAATGCATGGGTCATTTAAATAAAAGTGTTTTAAAAAGTCATCAGATAGTACAATTTAGATTTTAAGATTCAGCTTTCTTGGACTTTTTCACTTCTAATAGCAAATGAATCCTCTCTCGGGCTACATGTGAGAGATGGCCAGTTGTATTTTTGTAGCCTAGGGCTCAGATACCAGATATTTATGTAAACTGGAATGGAAGAAATAAATAGTTTTCATTCATAGAGTTATATCTTACCAACTCTCAGTAACTAAGAAAAAAGTCTACTTGAGCCTGGCCTGTGTGGCTCAGTGGTTGAGCTTCGACCTATGAACCAGGAGGTCACTGTTCAATTCTCCCTAGGGGCACATGCCAGGGTTGTGGGCACGATCCCTAGTAGGGGGTGGAGTGTAAGAGGCAGCCTACTGATGATTCTCTCTCATCACTGATGTTTCTCTCTCTCTCCCTCTCCCTTCCTCTCTCTGAAATTAATAAAAACATTTTGCTTAAAAAATCTACTTGATCCACTAAAAGTTTGAATTATATGAAGAGTATATATCCATTATATATAATTATCCTAATAAAATCTTTCAAAGTAAAGAGATCATTTACTTAAAAAGCTAGTATTTATTAAATGTTGATTGTAAACAAAGCATGGCCTTCATTAAGTATGCACACAAACAAACATATGTTACTAATGTTAACAAAAACTATTCTAATCATGTTAATATTATGGAAATATGACAATCTTTTTATTACTTATTTGAAATATTTGTACTACCTAATTTTAAATATTATACCAATATTGAAAAGCTTGTTCCCTAGGATTTATCATTTAAAGATTTACTTGTGGCTTATACTTATTATGTATAATAAAACTGTAGTGACTCTTGACTTTTTAAAACTCATTAGTTAATGTAGGAATGACCCTTTAATTAAACTCAGATCTGGTGTTAGATCCTGAAGTCCTTTAATATTGATGCTTGATCTGATCAGAGATTAAAAATGTATTTACACAAAAGTACCTGGTGTTTAAACACATGTGTCACTTGTGGATGGAAAAGACCGGTAGATCCCTATGCTACTTCAAGGACCTACTGGTATTCAAGTCAAGTTAAACAATGTTCATCTCTGTGCCTTTAAGAAGAAATGAACATATGGTTAAACTATAGAATGGCTATTTGCCTTGTTGAATATTTTTATTCTCATTTTCTGTATGTATGCATTAAACTGGTGGTTGTTATTCTGGTTAGTATATCAGACTGATACCTCCTGGATTTGGAATTATTATTTTTGATTTTATTTATTTCAAATAGGAAGGGAGAGGGAAAGAGAGATAGAAACATCAATAATGAGAAAGAATCATTAATCAGCTGCCTCCTGCACACCCCATACTGGGGATCAAGCATGCATCCTAAGCAAGTGTTCTGACCGGGGATTGAACTGTGACCATCTGGTTCAGAGGTTGCCGCTCAACTACTGAGCCAGTGCTGCTGGGTGGAAAAAATAGTTGTTTTTTTTTTGTTTTTTTTTTTAAGTATGTGTGTTATTCTTTGGAGATGAAGTTTGTGTCCTTCCTGACCTTTGACGACTTGGTCAAAGATGTATCGATGTGGTCTATATCAGGGTTGACAATCTTTCCATATTTTAGGCTTTACAGGCCATACATTATCTCTCACAGAAATACTCAGCTCTGCTTAGTCGCATGGAAGCAGCATAGGCAATGCATAAATGAATGGGTGTGGCTTTTTGCCAATAAAACTTATTATGGACACTGAAATTTGAACTTCGTATAATTTCATGTGTCATAAAATATTATTACTCTTTTGGAACTTTTTTCAACCATGTAAAAATGCAAAAGTCATTGTTAGCTCAAGAGCTGTACAAAATCAGGTGGCAGGCCTGATAAGGCCTGGGCTGGGGGGGTGCTGTAGTTTGCCCACCCCCAGGATAGAGGAAACCCCATCAGACTTTGCAGATATAGGCTAAACTTCCAGACAAAACTCAGGGACCCACTAGTTGGGCCATCTCGGCTGCTGATTTCTTTACTCTGGATCTCATGTATAGTGAAGGCTTTGGAAAAGTTTCGTTTTTTAAAGCCCCTTTCTGCTTCAAAATTCTATCATCAATCCTGCCAGAACAACAGTGAGCAATAAGCTGAGCCTCACACACGTCTTTTCTTTGGGAATTCTGGGAAGAGGAATGATGGGAACTCTAGGATGACATTCAGGGTGCCTCTTATTTACTCTCAGAAGGCAGGCTTGGACATTTCCACTTGACACATGACTTCTGAGACAGGGGGCCATGCCCTGGTGAGGAGACTGTCTTTGATGCTGATGCTCACGCCCTCCCGGTCAGTACATTGAGCAGTAAACAGCCGAGGAGCACCCTGTCCCTGCAATGACTGCTATGGGAAGTCCCTATTGGCTAACGCTAGGGATTGTCCCAACAGTGTAGTTATGGAACAAAACGAAGATAAGTGACCTTTCATCTCCACAGATCTGGGGAGAGGAAAAACAATTTCAAGCCTGTACCTTCCTTTCATTTTACCAACTAGACTCTAAAAAAGTTACACACACACACACACACACACAGCCAACCAATCCACAGACACCAAAGGCAGGCCTAAAAGTTCTGGGCCAATCTTCCAATATGTGTGCTTTTGTTTACCTGGAGGTGAGGAAATGAAGCCAGGATATTGGGGATTTTCTCCTCTAGAGCCAAAATGGTCTGGAGTAAAACCACATCTGCAAGGCTCAGCTGATTGCCCACGAGGAACCTTTGTCCATGGTCCCTCAGAACCTGCAGGAGGAAGTGCTCTGCATCGGTCACAGTACTCCACACAGAGAGGCTGATGAAGCTTTCGAACCTGTGCCGTATCTGAGAAGGGGTGACACTCGGCCTTATCCCTTCCCCTCTTTATTAAGAACATCAATTAAGAGGAAGCTCCCTGTGTCAGAATGTGTGTGGACAAAAGGTATAGAAATTACAGCACCGTGAAATACCTACTTTATATCTGAATGAAACATTTAAAGGAAAAGGGCGTATTAATTTTGGATTTATGCTTTCAAAGAATACATCGATTCCATAAATATGTCTACAGAAATGATGCAGCCCTCATGAATTCAGGAGGCTGGGGAGGGTGGAGAGTGCTGTAAGAAATAAGCTATAGATCCTCGCCAAGGAGTCTGTTCTTGTTTGCCAGTGGCATCGTGATCAACTGGATGTCACTATAAAAAAGCAGGCTTCTTTGCAAAGCCTCTAAGCCAGAAAAAATGAAAAGCATGAGAGTTTATCTTGCTCCCATTCTGAGAGTACCACAGAGATGCAGTCATAGGAACCGCGGTAGGAGAGGGAAGATTTTGTTGGCAGAGAACTCTGATGCTCACAAGTGTGAGGATGTGTGTGTGGTGTGTATGACTGACAGGGACCCGGCACATGATTCCAAATCAAACAGCCAGTGCAGCCAGAGTTGGGGAGCACAGTGAATGCGGCATTTGTAGTCCTAGGGTTGAGTTTTGTCCCCAGCTCTCCTCCTCGGGCACATCACTCCCTCTCTCAGTGATTCTGCTTCATTATGTATAAGAGAGGGGTAGCCATTTTTAGTTCAGGTGTTGGGAGGAGCCTGACACTATCTGGGCCACAGGGACATAAGAACCAGCAACAGCCTTTCCCCAAGGCACCTGCTCCCCCCAGGTCACCCCACACTTCTGCATTAGCATATTTTACATTCACGGAGTGCCTGTGGGTGAGAGAGCATGGAAGCAAATGACGGAAACACCCAGGAGATACCTCCCCTTCTCAGATCTAATTCCATGAAGATGGCCAGAAGATGTTTCCCAATTCCATATTTTTATGTTTTCTTTTGCGTGTTTTTACTTGAAACATCCAAATACAACTCCTCTCAGCTGAGAAAAAGGAGCTTGAAGTTCAGAAAAGCAGTAAGACAAGGTCAATTACAAAACAGAAAAAAGAACAAAGGGAAATAAAGAGCAGTGGTTCTTCTCTGCACATCAAACTGTTAAGTAGGATGTCTGATACAACGCTGCTCAGCAAAGGTCCATGGGATGAAAGAGTGAATGGATTAGGGAGTGTCTGCTTATCTGTATCTTACACAGGGCGGGCACCGGGTGAACTTAAGGAATGATGATACCTTAAGAGTGCTGAACCCAGATTTTCTGAGACTTCTGAATAATGTGGTCCCAGTGGGTCTGAGAGCTCCACACCACCCTGGCTTTGTGCTCAGGGCTACTGTCAGCTCTCTGGGGTCCCGCCGGCTTAGTCCAGTGCGGCTCAGCCTCACACTGTCCTGAGCTGGAAGGGGCATTGGTGGCAGCTCCCTGGCGGTCTGGTTATGCTCTTTTCTTAGGCTTCTCCGTCACCTACCTTTTCAAACACAGGGAAGTACCGAAAAATAGCCTTCTGGGCCATGCTAACCACTTCCTTCTGTTGATCATCTGGTCTCAGGAAAGGGTGCATGATAATCAGCTCCAGCAGATCCAGCGTCCCCTCCACATACATGTCAATCCTTAAAACGAAAAAGCAGGTTTCTTAGTTTCCCCTTCTTAGAACTCACCGGCTTCCACAACTAAGAATTCAGAGTGCTTTTTCCCATAAGGCATCTGAAGTACCAAGAACATTTATCTACACCTGTCTCTTATGAGGAAAGACGCAAACAATTCTAATAGTTCGGAAAATTCCTTCAGGAAGATCTGTACAAATCAGACAGCACAATAGCCATGACGGCCCTCTCTCCCCAGCCCCTACTCCTTCACTCTCACTCCACACACATGCGCAGTGTGCATGGAATACCACATTTATTTAAAAAAAAAAAAAAAAAAAGAGTGGATACCATTTCTGGAATGCTTGGTATGCATCAGGCATGGTGCTAAACACTGCATCTGTGAGTTCACGGAATCCTATGACATTATGAGGAATGTGCTATCACTACCCCACTGCACAGGACACTCGTCAGGATTCCAGCTTAACACACTGCCCGGGGCCATGTATCCAGGAGGTACAGGGGCCAGGCTCTGAATTCACATTATAATTCAAGGCACAGTGTCCCAGGCCTCAGATGTCACCGAAGCTTCCTATTCCTAATACTCAATGGTAACAGATTTGCAAGAAAGGTAAAAAGTATTAGCAAAACGTTTAAAGATGTTGAAACCTGCAACAGCCCTGACCGGTTTGGCTCAGTGGATAGAACATCAGCCTGCAGACTGAAGGGTCCCAGGTTCGATTCCAGTCAAGGGCATGTACCTTGGTTTCGGGCACATCCCCAGTGAGGAGTGTGTAGGAGGCAGCTGATTGGTGTTTCTCTCTCATCGATGTTTCAAACTCTCCCTCTCTCTCTCCCTTCCTCTCTGTAAAAAAAAAATCAATAAAATATATTATTTAAAAAAAAGAAGAAGAAAAAGAAGAAACCTGCAACCACCACACACCCGATATCGGCTCCACTACCTGAATTCAATTTGTTTCTATCGTTTTACTCAGATTCTCTGTACTGATTTCCCAACTGGCCTTCATGACCATTCCAGGTGTCCGTTCCCTGTCCACACTAGTGACCCCAGACATAAAGCAGACAGGGTGCTGCAAAGCATCAGGAAGCTGACACGTAACAACACTCAGGAGGGGCCACATTACAGGGTTCTCTCCTGGAGGTCCCTGCCGAAGAGATTGTGCTTGTCCGCGATGTAGTGGAGAATGCTCCGGGTCTGCACCAACTTCATGCCGTCAATCTCAACCATGGGCACTTGCTGGAACAGCAGGTGGTTACCTGAGAAGGGAGCCCAGAGTCAGAGGTGATCTCGTCCCTGTCCCCTGACCTCTAAGGAGGTGCTTTGGGGAAAGAAAAAGGACGGTGGGGCCACACGGCCTTGGGAAACGGTATAAAACCCCTCTGATGACAGACGGGTAACCTCAACTTCATTCGGGGGAGCAGGTTTTGCCATAAAAGAAGCCGGGCCGAGCCAGCATGGCTCAGTGGTTGAGCATTGACCTATGAACCGGGAGGTCACAGTTTGATTCCCAGTCAGGGCATATGCCCGGGTTGTGGCCTTGATCCCCAGTGTGGGGCGTGTAGGAGGCAGCCGATAGATGATTCTCTCTCATCATTGATGTTTCTGCCTCTCTCCCCCTCTCCCTTCTCTGAAATCACTATTTATTTGTTTGTTTATTTATTTATTTATTTATTTATTTATTTATTTAAAGAAGCCTGAAAACTCGTTTTGTTTGAAACTTGCCCCTTTCCTTTTCACCCCTGGAAAAACACCTCCCCACAGTGAAAGGGGGTGGAAATGGAGTGAAGACACTTCTTCAGATCCATGCTGGCCAATTAACAGTTGTTAGTAGCTGCCCATGTCTAGTGAAGCCTGCGTTTAAGTTAATGAAAATGTGAAAATTCGGCTCCTTAGTTACACAAGACACATTTCAAGTGCTCAGTAGGCACAGAGGCCAGTGGCTCCTGCACTGGCCAGTGCAGAAGAGCGTTCCCATCCCTTGTAGGATGTTCTCCTGACTGCACTCTCCTGACCACGGCGCCTGAATCACCCACGGCCACGCAGGTCCACCCGTGGCCTTGTCCCTTTCACAGCCACAGACCATGGACTACCAAGTGAGCTGCCTCCGGTCAAAACGTAACCCAGAACTTTCTCCAACAAACGTGCAGCCAACACTTTCAAGCCCCAGGGAGAGATGCAAGTCCAGGGGCTCCAAGGCTGGGCCTGTGGGGGCGGGGAGGCAATGAGCACTCAGCACATGCCTGGGGCTGTCCCCCAACAGGTGGCATCGCAGCCCGGACAGCTGGTCCCACGCCAGGGCCTCCTGAGGGTGGGAGGGAGGCTGGGTATTTTTTATGGGGCCTGGGTGTGGCGGGGGAGGGCTGACTGGGAGCTAATGCGGGCCTTTCATTGATTCCTTTTGTTTGGTATTCACTTCGGAAATGCGGCCCAGCATAAACGGGGACTCTTACGCAGGCCCCATGCCTCAGAGAATCTGGAGGAGGTGAAGGAGGAGGGGCAAGGAAGAGGAGGAGGGAAGGGATGACGAAGATGGAGGAAGAGGTATAGGAGCTTGGAGGAGGGCGGGGGAGGAGAGAGGGATGAAGAAGCGCTTATGTGGATGGAACGAAGAACTCTCTCTTCAGCCTCTTACAGAACCCTGGATCAGAAGCAACTTCCTCAAAGTTTCCGAGATTATTCCCTCTCGCCGGTCTGGTTTAGGACACTGTCCTGAATGTTTGGCGTCCCAGGGTCTTCACCCTTCCACATGCATGTCAGCTCTTTTTAAAACACCAGCATTCCCAAGTGGTCTCCTCGCCACACTCACCGTCCTGCAGCTTCTGCAGCTGTTCTTTCGTTTCCAAGAATTCTTCCTCGAACTAAATTGTAAAAAAGAAAAGGTTACATGTCATTGCAGGCCCAGGACGGCACATTCCACGTTAAACTGCTGGGAAGTCCCAGGGAGAGAGCACACGTTGTACCCACATCTTGGTTTCTAAAGATCACTGCCCGCTAAGGAGACCAGGGCTCCTGGGAGAAAAGGTGGATTCTGTCACGTCAGGAACAGGGATGACCAAAGACCAAGAGCTGTGGCAAAGGCAAAGGCACTCAGAACCCTACTTGTGGGTCATTCCCTGGCCCAATCTGGGACAACTCAAACATCAAAAAGAGTGATGTCAGTTATGGATTGTAACACACACCAACCAACCCCTCCTCTCCCACCCCCCCATCCAGAATGATACTAAAAAGCGGGTGGGTGGGAAGAAGAAAGTTTTGTTGTTGTTTTTTTAAATGTAGCAGAATTAGCTGAAACCGGTTTGGCTCAGTGGATAGAGCATGGGTCTGCGGACTGAAGGGTCCCAGGTTCGATTCTGGTCAACCATGTACATTGGTTGCGGGCACATCCCCAGTGGGGGGTGTGCAGGAGGCAGATGGTCGATGTTTCTAGCTCTCTGTCCCTCTACCTTCCTCTCTGTAAAAAATCAATAAAATATATTTTAAAAAATATATAGCAGAATTAATGCTAGTTATGCTAGTTAATGTGTAATTATGGCTAATTAATAAAATTAGAAAAAAGCTAATTTGCCACCTACAATGAAATTACTGAGCCATGGGCACACAACCTCACACAGTGTCACGAGTTACTTCATTAAGACAAAGGAAAAAACATTTCTTTGCAATGGAGAGATCCAGAGATCTCACCAGCTATCCAACCACGTGGTCAGACTCAGCTGCCCACTGGGGGACACTCCAGGCTGTCCTGTGCTTGCTGCTATGAGACGGTTACAACAGCACTGTGAAAACATTCCCCAAAACAGTGAACCTGGAGGTGAAAATCAAGCACATCCAGAACATGGGAATTTTGCAACATCAATGGCCTGGTTTCTTTCTAAGAGCCAAAAACATGGGGGTGGAAGGGGGAGGAAGCATATACTGTTCTAGATGAAAAGAGACTTAACCCAAAGCCTGAATCTTGACTCCATCCTGGGACAGCTATAACTGCTATACAAATATGAGACTTGAGGCCCGGTGCATGAAATTCATGCACGGAGGGGGGGGGGGGGGTGTCCCTCAGCCCAGCTGCACCCTCTCCAATCTGGGACCACTTGAAAGATGTCTGACCACCCATTTAGGCCTGATCCCTCTCACAATCCAGGACTGCTTGCTGCCAACCGCTCACCTGCCTCTGCCTAATTGTCCCTAACCTCTTCTGCCTGCCAGCCTGATCATCCCTAACCACTCCCCTGGCAGCCTGATCGACTCCTAACTGCTCCTCGGCCAGCCTGATTGCCCCTAACTACCCTCTCCTGCCGACCTGGTCACCCCCAACTGCCCTCCCCTGATAACCTGGTCACCCCTATCTGCCCTCCCCTGCAGACCTGATCTCCCCCAACTTCTCTCCTCTGCTGTCCTAATCACCCCTAACTGCCCTCCCTGCTGGCCTGAACACCCACAACTGCCCTCCCCTGCAGGCTATCTTGTGGTGGCCATTCTGTGTCCACATGGGGCAGCCATCTTGTGTCTTGGACTGACGGTCAATTTGCATATTACTATTTTATTAGACAAGGATATATAGTCATTAGTGGGACAACAGGGATTGTATATTAGATATTGTAAAGTTAGCACTACTTTTCTTAGTTGTGACAAGGATATTGTGGTTATCAAAACAGTTCATTCTCAGGAAGAAGATATGTGCTGATGTTTCAACTTACTTTCAGAGGACTGAGGAAATAGAAGCAGAGAGGCAGGAAGGGAGAAAACAAATGTGGTAAATTGCTAAAATTAAGTTTAGTTGAAAGGTGTCCATTGTACTCTTACAATTTTTTCTGTAGGTTTAAACGCTTGCAGATTAAAAAGTTGGGGGGGGAGAGAAATAGAGTGAAAACAAGTTCTTCTTCTCTTGACCTTATAAAATGTTCTAACACGTCTTCATGTCGGGAAGAGGCCTCCTCCCACTGTGTCTCAGGATGTCTGTCCCTGTGCTGCTCCCGAGTCAGCCAAGGGCGGGCGGAGCTCACCCCGCACAGAAGGCAGTGCCCCCTCCTCTCGTCTCAACCAGCTGACCTTGGGGGAGAACTGGGAGACGGGGTGCAGAGGGGCCTCTGCTATTTGCCAGGGTCCCCATGGAGTGAGGAGAGGGGCCTCAGTGCCCCTGCAGACAGACACTCTATCTGGTGCTCAGGCCAGCAATGTTCTGGGCATTGGTCCAAACGCCCGGCTGGTCAGATAGGGTGCTGGGGGTGCTCCCTCCACACCACTGCTCTCCGAATTTAGGACCATGGCCACTTAAAACACATGGGAAATAGGGGAGGGGGCATCCGACCCCTGGCCCAACTTCAGTAGCTTAGACACCAGAATTGTACATTTTAATTTTATCCTCCCCACGCCATTTCATTGCTTATTTATCTGGAGAAACTCTTCCTTATCTCAAATATTCATGTTTCATAGGTCAGGAACACGGGTCAATGACAAACTTCCATGGAATTCAACCCAAAGAAATTCCTTACATTGCAAGATCACTTTGCTCTGAAAGAAACCAGCCTTCCTCCAAATCTCTCATGGAATCATAGCCTCTGTAGAGATCCTCCAGCCTTCTTTCTTGGTTCGGTCACATCAAACTAATGGGAAGCTGCAAGCCCTAGGGATACAACGATGGCTTCCAGCACCATGAAATCTCAGACGCTTGGCTAGAAGGCCACGCATCTGAGGTTTTGGCCACACATTGGAAGGCGTGGCAGTCTATCTCCCCAACACCAACATCCTTCCTGAGGGAGAACTGGATCCAGCATCGTGCATTTTAAAGACAAATCCTTCCCAGTGATTCTGGTCCTGGTTTGGGATTTCTGGAAGCTTTGAAAAACTACCGGTCACTCAGAAGGAAATAGCACGGGAGGGGAGATGAGAGGGAAGAAAAAAATCAGGTCGAGCTTGGAGGGACCTGACAACTCTCGTCCAATTACTGCCGGTAGCTGGATTTCCACCTACAGTCAGTTGTCTCTGCTCCCTAACTTCGGAGAACTGCCCTTCCCACACACACTTCTTCATCACTAGCTCAGTTCTTTAAGTGAAGTACCAGACGTCCTGCATTAGGAGCTCGTAGCCCTTAAATCTTCCCTTTTATATGCGTTGATTCCCCTCTTACCAAGGGGATGTGGCTGGAATCTGGGCTGGGGGCAGGGGTCTTCAGGCAAGTGGAGCCCCCAGCAGTGGAGAAGCAATGCCCAGCACAGAGCACTGTCCAAGGACTGGAACCAGTGACCGAGATGGAGGATGCTGACTCCTGAGTTAGGGCCTGTGCCTTTCAGCAGATTGCTACCTGTTTACTCAGATGTATGTGCGATACCCAGCTGACTCAACTGGATATTGTGACACTGGGCTGCCAGCCCACCCCTCTTGATGGTTTCGATCTGTACGAGCACAAACATAGCTAAAATATCCTTTGGTAAAGACATGGGAGGAGCTCTCCCAAATATCACCTTTTGGGAATTGCTCCTGTAAGCCATGTGGTCAGCCCCAGTGAGGGAGGCCAATCAAGCTCCTTCCACCCTGGTCAGAGGGGCGAGCCTAAGAGTCACGCCGGGCTAATTATTCCGTCCCATCTACCTGCCCACTGCGATTGGTCTAGGAGAGGCAGGTCACATGACCCATGCTCTTGTTTTGTTGAATTCATTGACAGTTGGGTCTTCATCAATGAAACCAAGAATCCTGACTCATAGAAGAACAGGAGGGGCAAGGCACAATGAAGACTGGGAAAAGAGAGGATGTGATGAAGGATGTATATACTACATACACATATAAGACATCCATTTCAGAACTTGTCACATAAACCAGAATTGTAAATTCAGAAGCATTCAGGGTTAGACAGGTGGTATACACAGACCAGGTTCAGGTGATGGGACCAAGAATCTTTTCACTCTCCCTCTTAACACATTAGAAAATTCATCCTAAGACAACAGGGACTGCGGGGGACTGTGCTTCAAGGGCCCAGCTGCAGTGGCAGTCCTAACTCGGCTCAGCAACGATGCCTATGCAAATGAGGGCCAGGTGTCATTAAATCTTCCAGTTTCTCAAAAGCAGTCAGAAGTCAGCACTGCATATAAAAATGATATCAACTAATCTAGAAAACTGTAAAACACAGTGTGTGAGTTATAATGGTGTATGCACAAAGAAGCCAAAACCCCAAACTCAAGGACCTTTATTTGTAGTCTTTGGAGGTTGCCAGGGTAACAGTTCATTATTCTGAAAATGGATAGAGACCGAATCAAGCATTTATCTTGCCTCTCCTATATGAGCTGCACTTGGAAGTAACTAAATCATTAACGAGCGGGGAAAATTCTCTTTCTAAGACAGCCATGGTTAGTAAATTCATGTGAAATGAAAGAAATAGAAAAATTGCCATTTTGTAATCCCCAGCAATGGTGAAGACCAGCAGCTGCTAAAACCACTCTCTGAAAGGGTAATGGGGGAATCTTATTATGTGTGGATCAGGCTGACGTCACCAGAACACACTGATCAAGCTCTGCATGGCTGAAAAGGAAACAGTCAGACATCATGCACCCCGATGGCGTACTACAGAAATATGTCCACAGTATCCTTCTGCTGGAGTCTGGCAGGGGGAAAAACACACACAAATATGGAAAGAAAGAAAGGAGCCTGGATTTGATCACAGCTCTGGATCCAACTAGCCATTTATAGGAAATACAAAAAAAATAAGAGGAACATGTTAAAATGAGGGTAAGACAGCTAAATGCAGAATGGGGGCGATTTGACAGGGCAGTTCTCCCACAAATAAATGGCATGAAACAAATGAAAATACTTAGCAACCATATCTTGGCTGTTAATACCATCCTATACGATAAAAGCCTAATATGCAAATTGTCCCTTCAACAGGGAGTTCGACCTGGAGTTTGACCAGGGGGCAGGGCTGACCAGCCAACCACCCTTGGCCTTCCATCCCTCCTCCTCCCAACAGCCCTGTCCCAGCAGCAGGCAGCCAGGGGAAGGGAAGCCCTGGCCGGCAGCCTCTAGGGACCCTATCCGTGCACAAATTTTGATATTAATAAATGACGGAATAAATAATTATGTGGCGGGAAAGACAAACTCCCTTACATAAGAATTCTAAATGTAAATACTCCCTGGAAGAGGAGCTTAATGCCCACCCTTTTGAGTGTGGGCTAGAAATGACTGGCTTCTAAGGAAATAAGGGAAAATGGACACTTTACCAGGGAGCTGGCAGAACCTCCTCACCAAGTGACCAAGGCTAACGGCACCAGTGAGAAATCATGTTACTATCACGTTTCCTAATGTGACGCAACGAAAAGGGCACTTCCTCTCGGTGCTGTTCTTCCCCTGAACCCCAGTCCAACCGTGGGAAAAATGTTAGGACATACCCAAACTGGAGGATTCTCAAAAAAAAAACCTGACCAATTCTTTTAAAAAATGTCAAGGTCATGAAATAAAGACTGAGAAACTGTCACAGATGGAGGGAGACTAAGAAAACATATGACTCAATGCAAAGCTGGATCCTGGAACAGTAAAAAGAACATTAGTGAAAACACTAATTAAATTCGAGTAGTCTATGGTTTAGTCATGCATCAGTGTTAATTTCGAGCAGTCTGCAGTTTAGTCATGCATCAATGGTTATGTAAGATGTTATCAAGGGAACCTGAGTGATGGTTATAGGGAAATGCTCAGCACTATCTTTATAACTGCTATAAAGCTAAAATTTCTCCCAAATAGTTTTTTTGTTTTGTTTTGTTTTTTTAATGCAGAGGAAACTGCTAAAGATTTTTAAAATACTGAAGGAAATATAACCAATTGCAATGTGTGGGTCTGATTAAGATCCAGACTGGAGTACATTAACTATAAAAAAAAGACCAGTTTGAGACAATCAGGCTGAGTACTAGGTAATAATAAAGAATTGTTAGTTTTGTAAGGTGTAATAATGGTATTGTGTCAGGTTTTAAAATCCTCATCTTTTAGAGATAAAAAACTGATGATGTGATACCATGTTTAGATTTTGCTTTAAAATACTCCCAAAAAACAAGGGAGGGGGAGAGGTAGATAAGATTAGCATAAAGTAGATGATTTAAAAAAATTTTTATTGAGTTTATTGGGGTGACATTGGTTGATAAAATTATATACGTTTCAGGTGTATTATATTGTGTGTTCACCACCCAAAGTCAAGCCTCCTTCCATCACCATCTATTTCCCCCTTTACTTTATTGTACCACCCTCCAACCCCTTTTCCCTTTGGTAATCACCAAATAAAGTTAACTGATCCTTCAGGCTAGGTGAAAGGTACATAAAATTCATGACAATGTCCTCTCTACCTTTGTTCCTACCTGAAAATTCCTGTAAGAAACTAAAAGAACAAAACAAAAACACTGGGCAGACAAGAAATTTACTGAGACCTCGTATAATGAACAAAATATCTGGGAATAATTGGCAACTGTCAGGTTCCTTCCTTTTCTCCTTACTAATAAATATTTATCGGTGGTAGATTAGAAGCCAATGATTAAGTAAAAGTCAAAAGCAAAATAGAAATCCATCTACCACATACCATTTATTCAGGGGGGGGGAAAGATGGAAAGATGGAAAGGAAGGAATCCTCTGACTCCATGAAGCAGGCCTGTAATATTAGGGGGAGAGGACTACCTCAGGGCTCTCCCATATACGTTTTCCTCAAAAGTCGTAAAGGTTCTAGACAAATCTGTGAAGATACAGCATAAAAGGTACCTCGACTCCAGCGGCAGCCAAAACCCATCGTATGGTTTCCATCCGGCCTCTGCCGTTGGGATAGTGGAGCTTGGGCTTCTTATCTTCCATGGCGGTCTCTCAGGCTTTCTGAAAAACACACGCAGCATCTCCTCTCTCGTGTCCTCCACCCAGTGCTGGGGGTGGGGGTGGGGCATGAATGTTCACAACAGGGGACACAGGAAGCTGGCTTATTTATTTATTTATTTATTTATTTATTTATTACTGCGTTTTCCTTTTCCCTCACTCATTAAAAACCCTCCACCATTTTAACACGCTAAAACAAAACAAAACCAATCTCGGCTCTCCTACCGTTTCTATGATTTCTTGTTTGGATCTTGGGAAGCTGGGGCCCATTTGGTGGCAAAGACATTTGCGCGAACACCGTTATTTCACAGATTCAAAGCATCTTATCACTTTGAGCTCGGGAACCTTAAGAACCCCCAGATTCAGCCCGCAGAAGGCCAGACGCGGGGGGTCGCAGAGAATTCTACACCCACTGGCACGTCTGCAGAGAAGTCACACTTTTCACACGCATCCTCGTATTTGATTATCACAGAAACTGGAAGGTGGACAGGCCGAGGGTTGCAACATAGGCATCCACCGTCACGCCTGCGGGAGCTGCCCGGGGCCCAGCGCCTCCCCCGCCCCCGCGGGGAGGTGAGCCCCGGCCCCCCTCCGGTGCGCCCAGGCTGCAGACTCGGCCGCCCAGGCTGGACTCGGTGGTACCCCAGGCTGGGCCGGCCACCCCGCCCCGCCCTGCGGAGGACCCAAGCCTACTCTCCTTTGTCAATGCATTCAGTCTCCCTAGAGCTAGTTAATAAAATAGATAAAATTAAAAAAAAAATACGCACACTGAGCCAAAGACGACCCCCAACTGCAGTCCAGGGCCCCACAGATACCCACCCAGGCGAAGGCGGGGCGGGAGGGATAAGGAGGGGGAGGGAGACAAAAGGAGGGTTGGGGGTTGAGGGTTGGGGGTTGAGGGAGGGATGGAGGTGGAATCAGAAGGGGGAAAGGAGCCGAGAGAACAGAGAGGAGGATAAATAAACAAAGAGAAGGGGAAAGAAGACGGGGTGGGGGCGGCAGGAAGGACACAGACCTGGAACCCGCTGCCAGCGCCCGGAGCAGCACAAAGCGCCCTGCGAGCAGCCTGCAGCGGGGCGGGACCGGCGGGCCGGGAGGAGGCGCTAGCCGGTGGGCGAGGCTCCGGGAAGACTGCACCAATCGAAAAGGCGACGTTTAGCATGCTCACACCCATCTGCAAAGCATTCTGGATAATACAAAACTGCCCAAATTCAAGCCAGTTTTAACATGGATTTTAGCATTTTGAGAGATTAAATATGCTTGAAAGTGTTATTTAGATTTGAACTTTAATGAAGAATTCTTATTAGAGAACTTCTGGGTTAATAAAATCTCGTCCTAACTGTAAAGTGAAAATTCTGGTCAGGTTTATATAGCCCGTGCTCGGCTTCTTCTCTCGGATGTGAGGGCGATCTGGCTGCGACATCTGTCACCCCATTGATCGCCAGGGTTGATTCGGCTGATCTGGCTGGCTAGGCGGGTGTCCCCCTCCTCCCTCACCGATCCATGTGCGTCCCTCCCGAAGCTGCGCGCTCGGTCGAAGAGGACGACTTTCCCCCAAGAGGAGAGGACCGGTCTTCGGTCAAGGGTATACGAGTAGCTGCGCTCCCCTGCTAGAACCTCCAAACAAGCTCTCAAGGTCCATTTGTAGGAGAACGTAGGGTAGTCAAGCTTCCAAGACTCCAGACACATCCAAATGAGGCGCTGCACGTGGCAGTCTGCCTTTCTTTTCTAATTGCAATCAAAAAATTATTTTTTTTAAAACCTTTTTGGTCTTATACCAAGTACAGTTAAAGATACATTACTACTGCTGTTTCACAAACTAATTTTTGTCGTCTGTAGATGTTTTTTATTATTGCTTGAGAACCTGTGGTAGGTTTACCTGAGAGAAGTACGAAGAATAAATTGGGACAGTGCGAGTGTAAGGTGAAGGATGAGATAGGGAAGGGGGAAGGGAGAAAGAGGGGGGGGAAAAATCTAAAATGACCGCGCCCTCTCCCCACCACACACATTTCCTTTTCCACTTTCCTTGCCTATTTTTCATCACATTTATTGTCATCTAATACATTTTACTTGTTGCCTGTAGATTTAATACGATTTAAATTCCATGAGGTTAGGAATTTCTAACAACATACTTTTGTATATCTTGCTCCTAGAATAATGCTGAACAAGCCTGTTGGGGGAAACAATGAGCAGATTTGTCTTTCAATCCTTTGAGCCATCCCATTGGTAATGTCCACTAGACAGTTATACATATAAGCCAGTGATGACTCACGGGGGAGGACTGGCATGGATCAAACTGGCAGCAAAAGGCTGAGCTTATCTAGAGGAAGCATGTAAAACAAGAAATAAAGCAAAGTGAGAATAGTCAGAAAAGTCACTTTCAAATATAAGTATGTTCAATTTCATCTTTCTAATTCTGACCTAACACAGATGACTCACTCAAACATAGGTACGAAGCCCCATTTTCCAGCCCTGCTGAAAGTGGTCATTCATTTAAAAAAAAAAAAAAAAAAAAAAATATATATATATATATATATATATATATATATATATATATATATATATATGTGTGTGTGTGTGTGTGTGTGTGTGTGTGTGTGTGTGTGTGTTTATATATGTTAGTGTTAGATATTACAAATATCTTCCTTTACCCTCTCCAAGTGATCATTTTTAAAAAATTCTTTATTGTGGTGTCACATAATTGTCCTCAGCAAGTGATCACTCTTGACTCATCTTTTCTAACCTACCTTTCTACGTGGATTCACTTTAATTGAACTAGATAGCACAAGCATTATTTTAACTTTTTAAAATCTCATGTATCTTCATTCCCTTATATCTAATTGGTTGAACCGTATGACATTGCTGATACTTTACTATTTTTTTTTTTCTAACCTACAAAAATGACAAGTTCCTATTCCAACCTAATAAAATAGGGGTCACATCATCCTAGCAATCTTGTTTACGAGAAGGGAACTAAGGCAGTATCATTGGAGTCTATTAATTGCACAATCTTGTGGAGAAATAAAAAGTCCTGTTAAAATGATTCTGCCATTCTACAATATGTACCCTTAGGCCATTTCTTCTTTGGAAGCTCTTGTAATCTTTTCTTCTTGGTGTTCACCTACCAACCAGATATATTTTCAGAGGCTCTGGGAAATCTTGTCTTTAAACCTTCACCCACCTACTCAGTGGTATGTAAAATTGCCTTAGTAATTTTTAATTAAATTAGCTTTAAATCATAGTTTAAGAGAAGCTTGATATGTAAACACTCCAGGAAGAGGGAAACAAATTATTTAGCTATAGATGGCTAGAGTCAGACCAAATCCTACAGGAGGTTTTTGCCAAGGAAGAATGGCTGAAAGCTTGAATCTGCGTGGCTCCTCAAGGGTCACTCTTGCCTAGAGGTTACACAAGTGCTGACAATTATACAGTTGGTCAGTGGTGTTCTGATCATGAGGAGCACGTTTAGGGATTCACCAACACAAGTCTGATCGGTAAATCACATTCCTACAAAACTCCGTGGTGGATTCGAAGAAGGTTTGGGAAATGAATTTCTGTGGAATGTTGTATACAATTCATAAAGTTAGGATTTTCTTTTGGAGGTTGTATTGTACACGAGTGCACTGTGAAAGCTAAAAACATACAAGTCAGGTATTAACCATGATGGAATCAGAAGTTTTAGCCTATGCTTGTGGTTTTATTGTTGTTGTTATTGTTTTTTAATATCTCTAGTCACCTAACTTACTAAGAGCTAAAGCAAAAACAAACAAACAAACAAAAGCCCTCCACAATGCAGGATAACTTCACACTGCTGCTCTAAGTATACACTTCCAATTACAAGTATTAAGAAAAGGTTATAAAATACCAAGATGCCAGTTAGGAAAGATTAATGTTATCTTTTGATGAAAGAAAGAACATGAAAAACAAAAATAGAACACTCAAATCAATTTTTCTTAAACCATAACTTTATTTGGAGCAGAATTTTATAAATGTAAAATTAACATTTTTAAAATGCCTTAGGATGAACTATTCAAAAAGCAACATTTTTATTTCAGAGGGGCTTACATAAGTGGTTTTCTGTCCTCTTATCTTCTCATCATTATGAATATTTGCTTTATAAATAAATATATTCTTAATTACTCCCTTGTAATCAAATCAGATGATTAAAATTTCTGCCAGTGCCCATATCTGAGATCAGAAGACTATTTACTTATTCAGGTCATTTTAAATTCACATTAGCACAGTGTCTATAAGAAACCAATAATACAGATGAATGTGATATCTGCCCCCAGTCTGTCTCCTTAAGGGTTTCTGTGAGAAGGTCCTCACAATAAATTATACAAAATACAGTACTTTGGTTGAAAATGTAAAAATAATTCTAGAAATTAACCACATATATTAAACAAACAAGTTGCTACAGTATGCTTTAAATGATATATAATTAGTAAGTCACGTATATTGCTTTTGGTCATATACTGAGCTGAAACATACAGCCTACTTCCTTTTTCTCTCCTAAATGGCACAAACAATGGCTTGACGGAAGGGAAATGCTACTTCATGAGGAAATACGGTGCCCATGAACTCTAGCAGTACTGAGATTTGTACTGGAAAACAGAAGTTCTTGACAAAATCTTGACCATTCTTGACAAGAATTGGCTTTTACATGTATTGCCTTGATTGTACTCAGTCTTTGAGAACCCCAGAAGATGACATAGATATTATCTACATTAGTTAGTCCTTTCGGTGAAATGTGCCTTAAAACTTGTTTGAAAATCTATATTCTTCCTATTTAAACCATATCATACATGAGCTGGGGGAGGGCTTAGCAATGAATGAGATTTTTCTATGAAATGAACAATCACACCAGGTAACGTCTGTTCCCGGGCAGTTCACATGTGGACCCCTTGGCACACCTGTCACTGAACCTCTGGGCCCCAAATGAGAGCCATCCCTGTACTGCTGCTGCCCGATGTCCTGGAAAGCATTCTCACTGGAAACGAGGTATAGTCATGGAGGGTACAGTTAAACTCGGCGTGCCTCTTGGTGTCTTGCAGTACACTTTACAATTCAATTGCAAGTGAAAAATACATGCATGGGTAGCATTTATTTTCACTAAAAAAAGTCACTATTTCCTTCTATCGTAAACAGCTTGCATACACAATTTGTCCTTTACCCACATTAGGGCAAGGGGGAGTACTTTATAGAAATTTGCTAGTTCTTTAGAGTTTACAGTTTTTTCAGTTTTCTCAACTGACCATAGTTTCTTGACTTTCATATGGATAAATATGTTTAGCTTCCCAAAGGAAGTTGTTTTCAGATAAATGAAAAGGAAGAAAAGGGAAATATTTCCTGAATGTGGACCCTACAAAAATATTATTTTTAAAATTTTTAATAATCCTCACCTGAGGATATTTTTCTATTGATTTTTAGAGAGAGTGGAAGGGGAGAGACAGAGAGAGACACACATCGATTGGTTGTCTCTCACACGGGGGCTTGAGCCTGTAACCGAGGTACATGCCCTTGATAGAAATGGAACTCAGGACCCCTCACTCCAAGGCTCTATCCACTGAGCCAAACCAGCTAGGGCCCTACAGAAATGTTAGAAAAACCACTTTATAATGTGTATTAACCAGGTAACTAGTTTTTCAATTAAAAGAAAATGTAATGACCTTAGCATAAGCTAGAGTTTCAAGAATATGGTATTCACAATCCATTTGCTCCTCTACAGGGTATTTACAATTTAAACCCAGCTTTCCAGCAAGCTGAGGGAGGTTTCAGATTAACTTACTCTGTATACATAATACAGAAAGGGAAATAAATATTAAAATCAGCAAAGGACTCGTCTCTGAAAACACATTTTCTGTTGCTTTCGATCATGAGTTGAGGATATAATACAGAAATGAATTCAGGTTCAAGTTGTGCTTACACAAACACATTTATTTTCTGAATCTCTGCCGCCAGTTTGCTAACAGGAAAATATTACCTAGTAAGTCCACGTCCATTATGTGCTTTTCTCCCGGCCCTAGGATCATAGCGCTTGGTCAAGTATGTTTTTGAACCAGATTCTCCAAAGCAGAAATTACTCCCGACTTCAGGTGAGCGCTCTTTGGGAGCCACGGAATAATTG